GACCAAGTCCCTGATGCATTCCGACAAAAACTTTACATGCCGGGTTGAGCTCTGGGTACTTAGACCCTTTCGGATTGTGAAGGTGGGCACTCTAGATCCCGGCAGGACCCAACCTAAACAAGTATTGCGCCCTAAACCCTAAACCCTAGACCCCGTTGCGCCGTCTGCAGGTTTTTTTGGTAATTACACAGAGCGCCACGTTCGAGGCCCTACTGCAGAGGTTCCTGAACCTCACGGGAATGGGATGATACTGCCTTCCTCTAATCCCTGAACCCGAAAACCCAATCCCTTAACATCCCTAGGACCCCTAAACCCTAAACCCCAAATCCCTACCCAGAAAGTCCAAAATCCCTTAATTCTAGGGAATATACCTTAAAGTATACTAGGGATCCTTATTATGATTTAAGGTATATTCCCTAATGAGGATATTGGACTTTCTGACCCCAAATGCCAAATCCCTAAACCCTAAACCCTAAACCGCGAAAACTGAATGAAGTGCGCCACCAAGGCGGGGCTGAAGGTCTAGGTTATCTTGGCGATGCTGCCATGAAGTGTTTGGGACGCGTTTCATGGTTTCCAGAAAGGGTTTAGGGTTTAGGGTTTAGGGTCCAAAATGCCTTAATTAGGGAATGTACCTTAGATTATAGCAGGGATCCTTTTCATAGTTGGGGCTTATATAGCGGATTATATAGGGGACTACTATAGGGGTTATTAAGGGGGATACTAGGGGTTTAAAGTATAGCTCATGTATTTTAGGGATTAGGGTTTGGGGTTCAGGGTTTAGGGTTCATGCTTTATGACTTAGGGTTGTTCTTGATGTCCTCAGGGACCCCACGGCCCCCTAAATCAAGCAATATTCCTCGGATCAAAGTACGGATTCTAGTATAGTGTCCAAGATACATTCCTGTACTAAGGTATATTGGGCTGTCTGGGTCCTTTTTTAGTGACTATAGGAGTTCTAGAGAGCCCACAGAAGGACGCAACAGCAACAAACATTATTCTGTAGGCAACTGGGCCTTCGGGGTAAGGTAAGGTAAGCTTTTGTTCGGATTTTGGATGTTGTGCAGAGTGGACACTTTAGCATATGGGGCTTAGGGTTTTTGAGACGGCGGGCTGGCTCCCAGCATAGTGTCAAATAGACTACATTCAGGGGTTGCGCCGCTCTATTTAGGGATTATAGTCCCCCTAAGTAGATAGAATATGGGGTATATGGGGATCTTATTATAATATACCCAAAGCCATATTCTATCTACTTAAGGGGGACTATAAACCCTAACCCCCTAACCCTAAACCCTTTAGTACTTTGGGGGGCGCATGTGAAGGTCACCTCTCCGGTTGCTGCTTGGGCCCAGAATGGAACCCTAAACCCTAAAGCCAAAAGTGTTGTCTTCTGTTGCGATACCTGGGAGTGTTTGCGAGGATATTTTTTGAAAGGAAGCAAGGGATCCCTTTAGTAAAGGCGGTTTAGGGTGTTGTAGGTTTAGGGTTTAGGTTGTAGGCTTGGGGCCCTTTAGTAAGAAGCTTTTGCGATTTCCGAACCTAAGCTCAAACGGTCTTACTGGAAGCCCAAAGCATGAACCTGCCGTCTGCAATACGGCATCTTTTATTTCTCGTGCAGGAAAAGGGAGCCCCAATCCTAACCACCCTGCACCCTAAACCATAAACCGTTACACCCTAGATCCTCACCACCCGGAATTGTAACCCCTTACCACCGGAAAGCCTCAACCCGAAGAATCCTCAACCCAAAGAATCCCAACCCGAAGAATCCCAAAGCTCAAACCCTGAAATTCCCACCGCTGTCGTTCAGGTATGTTTGGGGTTTAGGGTTTAGTACTTCAAAATTAGGGCTGAGGGTTTAGGGCTTACTGCTTCAAAATTAGTAGGTTTGGGGTTAGGGTTTGGGGCTCAGGTATGTCCCGGAGATTATTACAACCCTGCAGGAAGATGGCCCGGGCCCTCGGCTGAATCTTTGGGATTTTGTTCGGGCCGTTTTGGGCTCATATCGGGTTACCCAAATAAAGGGGTTCCCTATGAACCTTAAATCCATTATCTAAGGCTATGTAAGGATGATATAGGGTGGAGGATTTGGAATGCACGAGCTGAAATGATGGCAAATATGGCTTTGAAGGGGGTTAGAGGTTATGGTTTAGGGGTTCAGGGGTTTAGGGTTTGGGGGGTTAAGGGTTTTGGGGGTTTAGGGTTTCAGGGTTTTGGGTTTTGGCCCTGGGGGTTTGGGATTTAGGACTTAGGAGTGTTCGCCCCCATCGTGGAGAATCAAATGAGGGGGGTTAGACCCTTTTCTACTTGTTTAGGTGCGCTTAATCACGACTTGAATAGGGTTCAGGGATGTTCAGGGTATCGGGGGTGAGGGCTGAGGGTTCCTGATTTTAGGGCTTAGAGTTTAGGATTGCCGTTTTAGTGGTTAAGCCTTGGAATTTGAAGCACATCGATGCCAAGGATCCCAGACCCCGCACACTGAATGTGGAATCACAAGCCAGGAGCCCTACAAAGTAGATCCCTAAACCCTAAACCAGTCGAGATCAATGAGAAAGAACCTTTCGGGGCCCCCAATGGTAACAATCCTCAACTTTCAGCCCTCTACCTGGACCCTCCTTGTACTGTACCCTGGAATAGGGAGCCGTTTAGGGTTTAGGGTTTAGTGTATGGTCCCTAATACTGCCTGTTTACGGTATAGAGAGAGTACATAGAGGGTCTAGGCTGAGTAAGTTAACCTGAAGCCCCCGCATCCTAAAGCCTGAAATTGCGGAGAGCTTCGGGCCCGGGATCTGCATTATGTCGTTTTAGGGCTCATGCAGGGCTTAGGCTTTATTAGGGTTTAGGGCTCAGGGCTCAGGGATTTTCATGGTCTACAGGGTGTACCTTGGGTACATTTGATTTCAAGGATCATGGCTCTTTGCCCTGGATCCAGGACCATGCGTTTACTGTGCCTTCTAATAGTATCATAGGGGTTTATTCCGGAGAATACTACTAGTGGCTCATGTAGGGTTCTGATTATAACACCCCTCCGACAAACAAACCGTCGGAAATTCGTGTATTCTGGGGCGAAGAGGCACACAAGAGGGGCCGGGTCACTCAACTTCCAGGAGCCAAGGGAACCTGAAACAATGGGAAAACTGTCTACCAGGACCCTCCTTATGCCCTTAAATCGGGGTATATAGTCCCTAACATAGTGGGTATTTAGTGTATGTAGAGGGTATATGGAGGGTCTAGGTAGTAGGGGTTTCATTCGGCTGTCCTGCTGTTTCTTAGTCTTTGTGTCTCACGGGGCTTCGGCTGAGAGTTTCTCATCTGTTCCTGCCTTGTTACTAGTCCGTCTGCTCTATTCCGTGCCCTTAATATTCGACACCCGATACTACGAAACTAACATTCTGGAACGGCAGCGCAGGGTGCAGGCCATCTGGGCCAAGTGGCCATGCACGCCCACACCGACAAAATCAACATTAATAGTATGGTATCCCTACAAGTCCAACCTACCTAGTAACTGAGCCGGTTATAACCTGCAAGGTAGGCACGCCGGTTCTGTCATGGACCCATTTTGGGGTTGCTTATAATTGCAGCCCAGAAGATAGGCTAAATGAGGTTGGATGCTTCAATTTCTTCAAGAGTTGGGGCTCAGGAGCTAACAATATCATCATCGGGGTCCTTAAAAAAGGCATGTTGTGCACATGATAGCTTCTCCGAAGCACACTGGGGCTTGTTACTTTTTGGGTCGCACGCTCTGAATCAGCGCGTCCACGCAGCATTGATGACTCTCCTGAGGGTGATAACTTGGACCGGCATCACGAAGAAACAGCATGTTTCTAGATAGGAATCATGATCGATCAGCACTAAAGTGGAAGCCAAGTGTCGCTTTCAGCCTCCTCTTCGATGCCAGTAGTTTCATACGGCCCATCTTGAGTACCCACTTGCCGAATGAAGCAGGCTTGCGTGGAGCTTTCAGGGAGACACCTTCGGGCATTGATACGCAATTATCATTACAAACATAGGCCCCACAATTGCATGAACGTTGAGGAGCTGGCGCTTCAGCCATCCCATAGAGTCTTCTCCAGCAAAATTGTGAGTATACCGGCTATTGTAACCTGAGTTGGTCAAGGGCTCTGAGATCTAGCTTTCAACGATTCAACCCGGTGCGATACATCAAGATATCGTCAGGATCTAGGATCATGCGCTTGTCCCAGTGCCAATAAGCCCAAGCACGCCATGCCCGTGCTTGCCGCAGCAGGTGTGAAAAAGCCTGAGATAGTTTTTCTGGAAGAACTCGGGTTTATAGGGTTTAAGGTTTATTATATATGAGGGTTTCGTATAATCAAAGGGACGTATAGGCAACCAGACTAAAACAGAGTAATAGCAGTCAAGGGGCATGGAATTTCGGTTTCAGTATCCACGCCACAACGCCAAGCCTCCATTCCAATTACAGGGCTATGAACAGGTATACTCTAGATCTGATTAGCCCCACTTTCAAAAACCTTTATCCATATAGCCCAGCTAGGTCATGATCAGGTCCAGTAGCCGACAAGAAAAGCGTGTCAGCAGCCGATGACATCGCAGAAACTCATGACCCGCATCATAGATTTCAGTTGACTCCGTTACCGTCCTCATATTTGGATGCGGTTTAGGGTTTATAGGGTTTTTCGGATTATATTTACATATGTATGGGATTCGGGGACTTGATTATACTTAGCTGGGGCAGATTTATGGTTTTTAGGCTACTCGCGTACACAAGCCCCCAAACCCAGGAAACCCGAATGTCATAAACCCGTGCTGGTTCGCAATGGGCAGCAGATATCGGCCAGCTTGTTCGCAGAGGCCAAACCACCGAGAAAACGCAGTCCTGGATAGCGGGGATCCGGATGATTGGTGTTATAGTTCATTGCGGTTTTCGGGGGCTCGTATGAGGTGAATTCGGGACCTAAACCTGATAATACGTATAATTTGATCTGAGACTATGATGTGCTGAAAAATGTACGTATGATCATGAATCAATCGAGTAGCAGGGCTCTCGCGTGGAGTTGCAACTTCCAATCATCATCAGGGCTGTCAGCTGCAAGCCTGCGGCAAAGAAAGCCCAACCACTCCATCACCACACGGCCATTATGCGCTTTGGCTGTAAAGTAATATCCATGGCTCGCCTTCAGCAAGTGTCTCTCCCGAAAAACACGTTGGCTGCATGGAATTTTGTTCTCTCGGCGCCACGCTTTGAACTGCTCGAACGCCTTGCCCAAACAAGCATTCAGCCCGGTAGCCAGATCCCCGAAAACACCTTTCTCAAGTAGGATTTGCCTCAGCTGCTGCAGCATAAGAATCATGGTAAACCGTTTTTTTATATAACCAAAAAATGTGATTTCGAGATGCGTGCGAAGTACAATGCCCCGCCACTTGCTGTGTGGACTAATCCCAGATGGCACACATGCATGGCGCAGAATTTTACCATTGTGACATGGAAGCCACGAAGATAAAGAAGGGGGCCTGGAAATGGATTTCCCAATTATTATTGGCTTATATGGACTTTATGGGTTTACTATGGGCTAACTGAAAACTCTACCTGGAATCCCCTCTACGTATGTATACGTAGATTTGAAAAAATACTTTGGACATTCAAGGCTCTGAGTGGGCCTGGCCTCACCTTCCGATTGATGAAGCCAGCAGTGTTGGTCTCTGTAGCAACCCATGGGGCGTCGTCACCAATACTGTAGTAGCGCAGGTTTCCATCATTAGCTTCGGCGTCACACAAAAAACAACATTCCCGGGATACAGGAGTAGCTTTCAAGCGCAGAATCCTCTCGTGGTACTTCCAATCCCCACGCAGCTCTGCGCAGGCGTATTGACAGCCATCTGCCATTATGGATCCCGCCCAGCGGCGCTTCTTCATCGGCAGTGGCCGCCCGAAAGCATCAACTTCAGGGTAAACCCCAGTAAAGGCCACGTTGCATCCCCACACCAAATGCTGCAGCACTGGCTGAAGGGTTTTCAGCTCGTCGTGGATCATGTGTTCATCCTGCATGCAAAATAACAGGAATTGCCCTTCCCTGATCGCCTTGGGTTTGAAAAGAGTCAGACTCAGAAATATGCCAGTCACTTTGTCTTTCGGGTCTCCGAGCACACACTCGTCTCCATAAAGTGTAAACGGGATGTGGTTATCCGTTCCAGGAAAATATTTTGCATGAGGCATGTCGCAATCACGGAGGTGCTGCCAATACTTATGAACAACTTCGGTGGGTGGAACCAGCTTCAACTCCGTTCGGAGGTAGTCGAGGAGTTCATGAACATCCAATACCGGAACCGTGGTTTCTACTTCTGTAAGCTCGCCATTGATCATCCTGTAAACAGGAACTGTGACGTTTGTTGGGTCCTAGGCTGCGCTTGTTTATGGGACTTCTTTTCATGGAGTCTAGCAAATTATTTGTAAGGAATCTGTTGTAGGTTCGTATATAACAGCACGAGTACAACCCCAGTAATTATAAACCAACATTATATTAATTATAAATTATTATAACACCAAAACTTAATTACATCCCGGATCCCAGACACGAGAGGCACCTTCACATTTTTAAAGAAGTCTCGGGCATAGTTGCCAGGCTTGTAGCGCATCAGTTTGCGAATAGTCTTGCTCTTGACTTTCCCGCCAGCCTCCTCATGATGATTTGCAAATCTTTGATTATAAGCCCTAGTTAGCCGTAAACCCCTATCCCTTCCTGACCCTTAAATTTCTACTAATCATGCCCTATAACCGAAAATTATGAATACAAAACCTATGAGCGCGTATAGGATTATAAATTAGAAATTAAACCTTTGGGACCCCAAATCGCCTCATAGCTGCTATGCGCATCATGCATGGCTGCTCCAACCGTTTTGGCCTGGGATGCTGAGGATACGAATTGAAATCTGCAATCGACATGGGTCACGAGAAAGCAACCTGGCTGCAGATAAGCTTCTCCAGAGGATATTCGATCCAACATATTCTGTAGTAGTCCAGCTTCGGAATCACCATTTTCATCAGAACCATCAGATCCTGGCATGGCAGTTTTATATAGCGGGCATGCATTCACTGCAATTGTGCCAGTCATGTGAGACGAGTGGTAGAATTTTCGCACACACAGACACACCCGAGCAGGCATCCGCACCACCTGCATGCTTGCGCCATGCTATATGGCTAAGAACTGCCGTGAGCAGCTACATAGGTCAAAATTTCCCAGGTCCACCAGGCATAGCTGGCTAGAGGGCACCATCCGTCCAAAACCCACACATACCACTTCTAAAAATGCTGGAGCTGCGCTCTGATGATTGGACTCCAAAATTCAACCGTTGTATACATTCGATGTAAGTCTAATGACACGGTACTCTGATCACCAGACAGCTGCACAGCCAAGGTATGTTCACCACGGAGGATGAGATCTTGCACAGCATATACGCCTTCGGCGCTGGCTGCCTCGCCAATGCATCTTGCACATCTTTGCAAGCGTACGGGTAACTAATATAATAATATAGGGTTTCTAGGGTATGTACATACGTATACATGGGGTCCGGAACGCCTAGGAGATGTAGAAATTAGCTCGTTCAGGACACGTGAGGAGTACAAAGTGGAATTGGGTCATACCTACAGCTGCGCGAAGCTGCAGATGCACGCATAGGCAATGGCCAAGGTTCGTCCCTGGCACCGGAAGAAACAGACAGTGGCTTCAGAGCACCCTATTATACCCATATAATCGACCCATACTTGAAGCATGGCTACGAATTGTTGATGGGGTATCACTTTTTGCCACCGCCCTTAGAACTCTTGCTGGACTTGCAGTTGCTCCTGTAAATCTTCAGGTGTTCATCAAACTTCCCACAAGTACTCAGTAGGGCCCCCGTCAGGCCACTCATATCAAGCACCTCACAGGGGCATGATGTAGGCCATTCCAATTGCGGTTGGTTATAATAGCAAATTCCGAAAGGTTTAATGTGTACTAGGGTTTAGGAGCTATACGATTTAGGGTATATTGTGGGTTGAACCTATACCCTGCGAGACCCTAAACCCCCTAATATAAACCATCCCGACGAACTAATCATTATAAGCCGCTATATTATAATAGGGTATTTGGGGTTATATTATTTAAATATCTATGTTCATACGGGTCATTTTGTCTATCTATGCGGTGGGGTTGATTTGCTGAACTCGCGCTTAGCCATGAAATTGGGATCCCGTACGTCTTCCTACACGCCTATGCGGTATGGAGTAACATGTACGTCTATCGTAGCAGCATCCTATCTCAATGACTTCGCGTAACCTCAAGACCCAACCCTGGCCAGCTTAATTCCATTTATAAGACACCCTATACTTTCCCCAAGGAGACACGGATGCCTCTTCATCTCCATCATACGCTCGCTGCAGCTGGGCACGGGCTGTCTGGATCTCCTTTGCCTGTGGGATTTATAGGGTTTACGATATAGGATATAGGGGCTAATTATAGGGGCAAGTGTGGCAGCAAATAACTTGAAGTATTAATCCCCAGTCCTGGTGGGCAATATCCTTCTTCATGGCTTCCAACAGATGGTTTCCCCTTAGCATTCATTCAGGGAAAGCAACGCGTGAAAGTTCCGATGTCAATGTAGGATTAGCAAGGTCATGGATCATAAATTTCAGATCTAGGCACACATCCGGGATCGCTTCCTTGTCCACACTGGAGGCAATCTTGATCTTTTCCGTAGCTTTGTCAATCGCCTCCGAGCGTAAGACAATTATTGCAATCATTATCATAATCGAATTTCGAAATAACCCGGCTAAACCATTATAAAGCCCTATTATTATACCCTATATAATTATAAATCCCATTTGAACCATCAACCGGTATAGACTTGAAACTGCACACCTCAACCGATGATCATAATGTGGCTATAGCTGGTTTGCAAAGGATTATTATACGGATAGTTCCTCTAATTAGAGTAGCATTCGAAAGACAATCCCCCCGTTCCCAACACATTTGAAAACTGCAAACTATCCACCAGAATAATATAATAAATTCGAAATGCAAATATAAGCCCTGAACCCAAAACCCTATATATCTATAAACTCTATATATACGGGGGACACGAGTTGGGCCAACCCACCTTCTTCGCTTTGCTCCTGGTTTCCTTAGCCTCCTGCGCTGCTTTTTCCTGCTCGAGCTGCTGCTGTTGCTCTTCGGGCGTCAGGTCCTTATCCTGAAGCAGTGGAACCCAAATATGTCGACAGTTTTAAAATGCCATATTAGATCATTGCAGTCTGGCCTTCTTCTTGTCCTTGCCCTTTTGCTTTGCCTTTGCTTTTGCTTTCCCTTTGGCCTTGGGCTTCTTTGGGGACTTTCCTTTCTTTTTTTTCGACTTGCTAGCCTTTTTTGCCTTCTTGCCATCGCCGCCCTCTTCTCCTGCATCCTCGTTGTCGTCCTCATCGCTCTTCGAACTGGTGCTGCTGCTGCCCGCCTCGGCTTCAAAGACGTTCTCAAGCTCCTCCTCGTCTACGTCCTCCTCTGTCTCATCACAGAGACACTTGTACTGGATCATATCCTGCAGGAACATTCGCATAATGAGTCTAGATCCACAAAATGCAAATCCAACTTAATAGAATGATCAGTCCTTGCGCTGGGGGCATTCCGGGTGCTTGCGAATCTCGCTTTCGCGCTTCTCATCATCATTCTCTTTTGCCTCGATGATGGCCAAAGCCACGCTTTCACCATGGCGGTTGATGAGCTCCTGCTTCGTGTACCACCTCCTGAGCCCCTTTTTCCGGCTGGCTTTCTTTGATCTCAGTCGGGCCACCAGTGCAGACTTGGCCCAGCAGCCAGCGCACAACAACCAGTGCTCAAAGAGATAGCTGCGTTGCGCAGAATTATTCTTCGCCTTGTCTGCAAGCTTGGCAATCTCTTTCGGGCAGTTGGGGCCTGAGCTTGCAATTGCAGAATTCGCCGCGCTATATTACATGTGAGGTTCTCGAGGCATCATGAATTAACACAATCCAAGTGACTGCTCAAACTGCGATAGTATCGCATGTTTCTTGCGTGTAATCTTTTCCTTCGGTCGTCCTTGCTTTCCGGTTTGCCGGTGCTTGCCCTGGCCGGATCGGGCTGCTCCTGTTGCTTCTGCAAAGCCTCGGCTGCTAGTTGTTCTGCTGATTTCTCCTTCTCTTCTTTCTTGTTCCATTCCGATTCCGTTTTGCTGATCTCCTTGTTCTCCTTTCCTGAACTTTGCGCGTCTGCTGCCGCTTGCTCCTTTCCTGCAGGATTGCTTGCTTCCGCTGAGTTCTTTCTCTCCTTTTGCATGCGATCTATGCTGGCCACAACCTCCTGTAGCTCCCAGTCCTGAAGTTGGTCCACAGTGTGCCCCCGTTGCAAAATGCTTTGCAAAGTAGTTAGACTCGAAGATGGCTTCTCATCCCAATTTTTGCTGGAGCGGTCCTCCCACCAATCATATGCCTTCCCCCACCAACCACTCGAGTGCCCACTATGCTCGGACCAACTATCCCAGGTCTCCGCCTGCCAATCCCATCCATGCTGCGACATGGACCACGAGCTGGCGCCCTCATGATACTGGCCACAGGCAGCATCACCAGCAGGGACCTGGGCTGATGAGAATAATTCACTATATATAGGTTTAGGGTTTAATTAGGGTTTAGGGTTTAGGGGTTTAGGGTTTATAGTTTAGGGTAGGCAATTATAAATATGCGGAGTGTCGTTTTCCGGCTATAGGGTGTCTTGAGATACCTGACCCCACTAATAACGCCTGCTCGACCCAGACCCAGTCAAATTGCATAATCTGACGGAGTGCCGTTTTTTTCTAGGGATAAGGTTTTTTAGGTGGTTATTGCCCAGTAGTGGGGATGAAAGGGGTTACAGTTTGAGCTCGTGACCGGCCTAGGGGGACTTCCCGACTTGCATGCTTGATGATCGGACCTGTGTTCCGAACCACCTAATTATACCCCTATACATACATATAATATCTAATTATTATATATATATATATGTAGATATTTGAACCATACCCCTATTTAAACAAATATGTATATATATTAATATATATATATATGTGCATAATTTATTATATCTAGTATTTAGGAGTCTTGACGTGGGATCCGTGTTGATTTTGGGGGTCTGAAAGGGCCTTCGGGATTTGCGTGGATTTTTCAAATCTCGAGGAGTATTCTTGCTAATAACTTTTCCAATTACTGGTTTCCTTTCGGAGGATCTGAATGGCCATGGGTTTTGATCGTGATATCGATCAGTCTAGTGTTGTATTTACATGGGTGGATGTTGGGGGTTTTGTTTGAATTGGGGGGCTCTAGGAAGGGGGGGTCTACTTGTTACGGTACTTGTGAGCAAGATCTTGGGAGGTTTATGACATGAGGTATGATCAGCCGGTTTGAACCATTCAACGTTAATAACACATGTTTGCGAAGAACCCGGGTGTCTTCATTGCAGCTTTTCGGAATGTCTTTGGGGCCTTGGAGGGCTCATGGCATGATCATGACAGTTATTTGTAATTTCGATACATCAGTATAATCCTATACCCACACTTTGCTGTTATAAATCGAGATGCCATGCTGATACTTCCAACGTAATTATACTGTGAAAGGTGCTCCCCTCATGACATATGGAACAAAAACACGCAATCCCTGCCACTTGTCCTTGTGAACCTCAAACCCTAGGATAATATATTAAATACAATATAATCCCATTCTTAATCCCATCGAAATACCCAACCCCTGATCATGACACTTCTCCCTATATAAACCTGAAACCCTTATTATAATTCCCTATAATTCTACACCCTACCTATCGTGAACTGGCCTCAGCAAATCGCATGTAAGGTTTCGAATTCTATTTGCAGAGAAAGGAGCGTGCGACGGCTTCGGATTGTGCTCCTCCTCCGCAGTATACGTAACAGGGCTGTTGCACAATCGACGTCTTTTACCTGATGATCTGGTGCACATGGGGCTGGTGACATTCTTGGTAGCCTCGGGGGTTCGCTTGATAGGGGGCTCATCACTTCCTGGCTTCGACGGGGTCTTCTGATCCTGATTGCTCTTGGATGGGGTCTTCTGATCCTGATTGCTCTTGGATGGGGTCTGATCCTGATTGCTCTTGGATGGGGTCTGATCCTGATTGCTCTTGCCGGGGGTCTTCTGATTCTGATTGCTCTTTCCGGGGCTCCTCTGATTCTGATTGCTCTTGCTGGGGCTCTTCTGATCCTGATTGGTCTTGCTCGGGGTTTTCTGGGTCTCATTCGTGCGCCTTGGGCTTTCTGCATGTAGCTGGGAATCCAAGAAGGTGTCTTGGCTGCGGAACGTATCCTCACAACCTCCGGCAACTACAGGGGGTGCTGTAGTCGTAGGATTAGGAGCTGGGCTCGCCATCTCACTTTTCACAAGCAGCCTAGCTGGTGTTGGGGCTGGCTCTGGTTTCGTTGCCTGCACGTTGGCAACTGCATCTGGCAGGTTGGCTGCTGGCTTCGGCTGCTCATTCGGCATTTGTGGACTTGCTGCGAAACCTGTGGCTTGACATGGACGAGCGGGATAATGTTATAATAATCATATACTTCTATGGGTTCGTTATAATATAAAATTATACAACCAGTATATATGGGCTTAGATATAATGGGTATTATATTAGAAGGGATTACATGAGAATTCTAGTTTTCCCCTAGCTAGAATCCCTAGAACATGTCATCGGAGCCGATAGTTCGAAACAAAACCCATTGAAGCCTTCGGAAGCCCTGGCCCGCAATGCCGCAGCAGCAGCTAGCGCTTGTTGCACTGCTTGATCTCGTGGGGAGTTGGTGCCCATGCTATATGGCTACAATCAAGATCTGTAGTGGAGAAGATATGGAAAATGTGACACGATGAAGTAAACATCACATTTTGTCAGCGAGCAATCCCTGATTTAGACGGTCTAGTTCGAGTATGCTGCAGAGAGCAGATCATATCACGCCACCCATGATCGTATCGTCATGGTGCAAGACCAGCTTGAGCAAACCTAATTTCAACATTCAAGGTCAGAAGAAACCCTCATGGAACCCTGTCAAGAAACATAAATTTCTACCAAAAAGTTTACATTTGAAGCCTGACCACCTGTCCACCCCAGACCCATTGCAGATCGCTCATAGAGTCACGCTAGAGTCACGCTAGAGTCACGGTCCGGAGGCTCTGTAGGCAGAGGCCAGGTATACGCTTATGAGAGCAGTCACGCAAGAGTCACGCAAAGTCACGCTAGAGTCACGGAAAAGTCACGCTGGATTTGCTTGGGCTGATATGGCATGGTTTCATGAGAAGTTTACTAAAAGTGCTTCCAAACCCACTCAGCCAGACAAATCTCCACGTGACTACACCTGCTAATCCAGCTCCCCGTGCGACTAGAATTGCCTCGAAACACAACTCAAGTCAGTTTAGCAGCTACACAGGTCATGAGACAAGGGTTAGAATGTATAAGATGATTGCCATAGCAAAAGAGGCAACACCGGACAATCGCACGAATTACTGCCCGCATACTTGATTATTAATTTCGGAGCATGCCCTCTGCCAGCTAAAGACGGGGTATGTGTGTATTGCATGTGCTGGAAGTTCATGTTCTGAGGCCACTTGTCCCCCATGAGTGGATAGCGAGCTTCCTACACCTGGCAGAAGGGCTGCGGAAAATTCCTCTAAAGTGCGAACATTGGTGAGAAGCGACCGGCAGATGCCTCTTGCCTCAAGAACTCCCGAACTTCGCCAAGGTTCGCGTGACTCCATCCCAGTGGCGCCTCCACCTGGCTCCAAAAAAACGGATGCTTGGTAGGCCTATGATGTACATGCGTTTGAAAGACATCGACCCAGTAATATGTCTCATCTTCATGCCCCATGGATGCATACTGTGGAAAATACTCTCATGGTAAGCGTAGTAGCAACCTATCCGCAACATTACTTCCACCCATTTACCCCTATCCCACCTTGCTGCTGCTGAGCACATGGCATCCTTTTCTCAGCAAGCCATCCATGAGGTGTCCATGTTTCTCCTGGATGCAACAGGTCATTACCCCCCTCACCCTCTAAACCCTAAACCCTAAACCACCCTAAAACCTAAACCCGTAGTCTAAATAAACCCCGTTAGAATGTACGTATACTTCATTCCTTATAACTTATATGTAATTTATCTCTATTTGGGACCTATGTGTGGGATTACGATTATGTATCATCATAACTATAGATAGAGGAGGGTGTTATAAGTACGTACGAAAGTAGCACCATGAGGACGAGACTCAGCATACTTCAGATGGAGCTTCACCACCCGAGCGCAGAACTTGCGCGGATATTCTTGAGTTTTCTTGAGAAGTTTCCCACCGCTCCTTATGATGATAGCTGCAATCCAGAACCGTTATGAGAGCTCATCAGTGCAACAAAGCATGTTTTCAGGAGCCACGCAAGTGGCAACTGCATTCCATCCAAGGCTCACAACTTGGCGGCCACGCTTGTCCACGCCCTTTCGGACTACACCTTCAGAGGAGAGTCCATAGCGGATCTTCTTCTTTCTGGTAAGCCTCTTGGCCAGCTTTGGAATGAAGCCCCTCAGCTTCAATCGAAGGATATGCATGTTGGACTGATCATGTACATGATTCATCAGATTCAGATTGCTGGGTTCCCGGCAGGGTACCATAGGCAAGGGAGCCCTTGCAGCTGAAGTGACCATAACATCCCATCCAACTTAGATGTCCAAACATTTTGCGGGAGAACAAACTTTGAATTGGAAAGGCTTGGCAGAAGCATTTTTCGACTATGCTCATGCGTAGCCCAGTTGCAAGAAAGTACGATGGACTCGCATAAACTTCTGCAAGATTCTCACGACGTGCTGGAAGTACGGGAGTTCCTCAAACATTGAAGAAGAAGGCTGCTCCAGCAGCCAGTAGCATTTGCGGACCGTGAGGAGCAACAGCAGCAAGCAGACTCGGGCTGCAATCCTTGGTCAGCGTTTTGGGAAGAGAGAAACGGAAAGATTCAAATAGAGAGAGACAAAATTCAAACGTATGCTGGAATTCTGAACCTACCAGGGCAATTAATAAACAGTCTAGAGAGAGAGAGAGAGAGAGAGAGAGAGAGAAAGAAAGAGATTCAAGCATACAGCCAACACAGCCCCTGTATGTTTCAATTTTTAATCCAAGGCAAATGAATTATAGATTGTGCGTCTGAGAAAGAAATTAAATTAAACACATACAGCCACCACAATATGTTTGAATCTAAGTTGGAAGCCTTCCAGGGCAAAGTGAGAAGACATTCAAGCATACAGCCACCACAACCGCTACATGATTGAATTTCTGATCAGGAGTCCTTCGAATTCCGCATTATTATCTTTTTAGAGAGAGAAAAAGAGAGAGAGAGAGAGAGAGAGAGAGAGAGAGAAAGAGATAGAGAGAGAGAGAGAGACAGAGAGACGATAGAAAGGAAGAGAGAGAGAGAGAGAGAGAGAGAGGGGAGGAGAGGGAGAGGGATAGATCGATCCATCATGAGTATATATTTTTTCGAACCATGAACTTGAATTTGCACTCATGAGCCAAGGGTCGAGTTTGCTTGGTCGATGTAAGGAAGGTCTTCTCGTCCCAGTGGCAGCTCCGGGGATCTTCTTGAAGTACCGCTGTTCAAGAATATGAAGCTACTGCATGGTACTCCAATGGTAGCTAGCGAGCCTTCTTTCATTTTCAATATCGATCTGACAGCGGAAATAAATCCTGTCCTTGGATATACATATTCAGAATTACGCGCAGAATAAGAATCCCAAATACGAAAATGCACACACATGATCATGGCCTCAGTGCAGGAAACAGGCGTTGAGAGGATATCATCTTCTCCAGGTCTCTGCAGGATCTCCATGTAGTCACTTGGATACACGATTTACACACCGAATGTCCACATCATATGTCAGCCATGTACATGTCTGTTCATCCAAGTCACCTGTGGAGGCCGATCTGGCCTGATGTTGCGCAGCAGCATGCTTAACAAAAACAGGGCAGCCTGATCGAGATCTAATCTAAGAATCTGACAGTATTCTCGCTGCATGTTGCGGATGCCAGCAAACATGTCAAAGTGCATGCGCCCCTGAGTCGTATGCATATATGTACTTCCAAAGTCAGGCGCCACGGAGCTTGCAATCCACACATCTAAGCAGCTCACGCGGAAGCTCATGCTTGGCGGCGAGTTCTGCGCAACATAATCGGCGCAATGCAGCCTAGAACCAAGTAGGGTGATCTGAATCGCTGAGATCATGATCGATCAAGATAACCCATCATCATTCTAAGTTTCCAGCAGGACGGGGTCAGCACCCATCAGCGTAAGCAGGGCCACAGCAGTCATACTCATGGCCAAAGGAGTCCGCGCCATCCATTGACTGGTCATCATGGCTACCACAGCAGCACACACTCGATCACACTCTAGTGCCACAGTAGGAAAAATTGCTAGCACGCCCAGGCCATTTATTCAAAACCCTGCCAGGAGATCGACCCATCACGTGATGAGGTGTGCCTCTGCAAGACGAGATTAAGATGTTTATAAGATTATGTGAGCTGGACCCTATAATTTATACCGATAATTATAATAAGTATGTATATACTATAATTCTTATAATTATATATACGTCATGAAAGTTTATATTATTAGTTAGGGGACCAAACGTGACCTTATTCAGACGGCTGCTTCACAAGAATCCAAATTGAATAATCACCATGGAACAGAATCTGCCATTCGCCACAGGCTTGCACTAGCACATGACCAAGTCACAACCCTCGCGCTCCATCATGACATATATCGCCATTTCTCATTTTAGGCAGCGTGTGCGAAGGGCGCACATTGGATCCACCTAGTACCTAGAATCCTGATCATGATCACGGTTCAGCAAGGCTTGTAAGTTAATCGAGGGTCCAGGTTTAATGTCACATGCACTTGGCCAGCTCGCCTTGCCTGGTCATGACCACGATTCAGCATGGGTCGTATCATCCCCTAATTCAAAAATCAAAATTCAAGGCGTGCGCATGCCGCCTCACTTGGCCACCTTAGCCTTACCAACCTTCCGGCTGCGCTTCTTCTTCTTGCCGCTAGCTGATGACGTCGCAGCACTGGGCCAGGACTTCGGCTCATTGACACTTAGCGGCGTCCAACGCGCCAGCATCTTTGCCAAGCGAAACCTCATATTACAACAAAGCACAGCTGCATGTCTCCAAAAAATCCTGCCTCCAGGTTTGTTTATAACGAGTCACTTTTCGGTAAGATCCTCTACATCGCCCTTCTTCCACGAGAGGCTGACTTGTCGGTTGCCATTCACCTGCCCATGAACATGGAACCATAACAACAAACATGTATCGTATCATATGAGGCCTGAAACTTGACTTTCTCACCAAGCTCGGCTCTCACATCATTTTCGATTTCCTCATCCACGTTCGAGATGAAGATGCCCCCACCAAGCCTAAATTCGGAATGGCCATGCACCATGAAAGATCTACAGCAATCCCCAGAAAACGCCTGCAAGCCAAGCTGCAAAATGCCTATGGTGGATGCCTCCGGCCCGTAGGTTTCAATCACTTTGATGGCGGGCTTCAGGGTATACGACCTTGGGCAACGTGAACACAAAATTGATTACATTAATAGAATTTAATTAATCATACTCATCAATCGTGATCAAGGATCAGCTTGTCCTCAACACCGTCCGGGACGATCATCTCCCAATCCATCTCCTTGAGCGCGCGGAGGTCCTGGATGACCATCTCCCGACTCGCCTTATTGCACACATGCGAAACCCATGCATTCCGTGGTTCTATTATATAATAATAATAATAATAATATGATTCAAGGAGCCTCCACACGCTGTCGCGACTTGGGGATTGGCTTCTTGTCATCGAAATCGCGCTTGGAGGTTCTCGGGGCTGTCTTTCGGGCAATGCGCGGGGTCCATCCCGTAGGACCTTGCTCCTGGTCCTGGAACCCATGAGCTCGAGGTCTCTCACGCAAGCACAAGTGGAAAACATGCGTGCACGCAACCCCCATGACCAAAGGTCTAATTAGTCTTCCCAGTCACACATGGCCTCGTCCCAATCCAGATCGCATGGCCAATCATGATCTCCAGCCGCGTCATCTTCTGCAGCTTTCGTCCTCGCAGCCTTGAACTTATTCGCTCTAGCCTGAGCTCTTGCGTCAATTCCACTCTTCATGACTCGAGCCTTGCTTTTCTTTCTCTTCTTCTTCTTCTGCTCCTGATCTTGTCCGTGGCTGGCACTAGCATTGCCAGCATCCAGGGCTCGCTCCACATCCTCAGGTCACGGTCACAACCAAAGGTGATTAGGCAATATAAGGCTTGCAAGAGCACACATGCAAACTGAAACTGGGTCCTCCTGTGCCTCATCTTCCTCATCCGCATCACCAATTGGTGAAAAGGAAAGGCGCCGCTTCACAGGCGGCGACGGCGCCTCCTTGTCTTCATTCCCAACCCGGTCCGTCTTTCTTGCAGCTCTGCCCCTTTTCTTGGTGGGCTCAGCTCTGAGCGCATTCTTTTCTACTTCCTCCTCCTCTTCCAAAGCAAGTGCCTCACTATCACAATCATCATGTGCGTCCTGCGCTCTTTCATTCCTAGTGTCGGCCTCTTGCACTGCAGGCCGTGATTTGGCTTTCGCCTTCGCCTTCCCCTTTCCTTTTGCTTTCGCTTTCGCCTTTGGCGCAGCCTCGTCAGAAGCTGACAGGCCACGTGCATCCCTGCGAAGCTTCCTTTGAGCCTTCCAGGGTAAACATTATTAATTATATTGATTCGTTCAATATCTTGTCGTGGATCGGTGACATCCATGAAACTACTCTGGCCTGCAACAAGTCCGAATCATCAAAGCCCGCAACCTGCTTCTCCAGCGCACACAACGCATCGTCACATCGCTTTTGCAGATCTGGTGGGAGTTCCTCTAAATCTGGAACAGACGGCATAAGAGGCTTCTTGGACACCTGTCAGGCCGCAAGCGCATCATCCATTCACAATTGCAAGGTTACAATGCAGAAGCTGTGCATGAGTATCTAACCCCAGCCTCACCCTCGGCCGAGACGGATGGCAAATCTATATTAGGGACCACGGATTGCGAAGCCTTGTTCTGATTTCCCATCACCTGAGAGTATCACATAAAACGTACATGATACAAACAGTGGCAACACCTTACCCGCATGATCCTGCTGAGCTCGGGCTATAAACCCCATAAGTGGAATTACTCTTTAAACTTCGAATTCAGGAAAGTGACCTTTGGCTGGGCCATGTCTGTCGCAGGCTTCGTTTCTGGAATTGTCAGCTCCTGACATGAATTCATGGAATGGGCCAGGGATTCTTCTTATAATTATATAGGCACTTATTATAATAATTAACGCATAACTTGTTATAATTCTCCTTGGAATTTGCGGGGACCACGGATTGCGAAGCCTTGTCCTGATTTCCAATCACCTGAGGGACCGATCACGATTATAAATGTGAATTCGGATTGTAGCTATACAACCATGTTGTCCAAGTCGCCTTTGGGTTCAGAGCCAGGTCTGTCGCAGCCTTTGTCATCCCCGCTTCATCAGAATCCTTCCAAGACAAGTTGAGCTAATATATGGGTCGTTCGATTATATGAGGGCCATTTCGACTAATCATAACCAGGGCGTGAACATGCTCATTATATATATGAGATCTCCTCCTGACCAGCTGGTACTCGAGATTCTTCAGGAGCCTTCCAACCAAACTTATTATATACATGATTTGTGTTAAATGCCTCCCACCCACACACACACACATGCATGGATGACATACCCTGGCTAGAGCCTCCGCGACCACAGCTCGGCGCACGGCAGCTACTTCATTCGTTCCGGCCACCTGAATGCACGCAAAGTTTCCACCCATATACGCGTATAAAACAAAAATCTGCCTTTGGGGACCGCGTTGGCGCGATAACTTGCTTCTTCTCATTGGGGGACCCAGGGCCGGATACGGAAGATGTAATGGATGTAGAACTCGTGGCGCGCAAAGGCATCGCCTGCGACAACTTAAACATAGTAGAATTTATAATACAGAATGTAATGCATGCATGCCATGTCTCTTTGATTGGCTATGCTGCCTTTCTCAACTTCATTGCCTCCGGAAGGACCATGTCCTGGGAAATTTCTAGACATGAAACCACGTGCATGTACGCTTTACAACCCCATCTGCAATGACTCGCCAGCCTCCGAGTGGCATCCAGGAGGTCCCTGCTGCTCTTCATCACGGCATCCCATCATCGCCTGCAAACGGGGGATAGTGCATGCACATTAATATGCGTGCTAGTGCGCATGAATTGTATATATACTCCTTGCCTGAGCTGGATCGCCTGCTGCCTTTTCTGCTTCTGCAACAGGTGCAATCACCTACGACGTAGGCCACAAGCAACTTCGAAAGCAAACATACACACGACTTCAAGGTGGATGCTGCAGACATGTACAGCTAGCCTTGGTCGACCCGCTCTGCTTCTCAGACACTCCCACGTGGGCGCTGACCTAATCACGGGCAGACCAAGGGCGGACAAAAGGGAACATCACACACAGACTCACACCAAACTTCCGATTGTTATTAAATTTAAAACAAGGGTCTCCATCAGCATCATCTTCGTCATCAGGCACGAAAATTGGCTGAATGTGCGGTTGCACATAAATGATCTCCGCCCCATCTTCATACATGGTACCTGACCAACCTTAGCTGCTTGTGAC